TGTGTGTGTATATTCAGTGGAGTAAGGGATAGCTAAAAAGACCGGAGGAACAAGGAGCAAGGGGTTGGATCCTCAGAAGGAACTGCAAGAACGAGAAGGATTAAGACAAGAAAAAGGACAGAGACTGGGTCCCATTCTCTCACTTTCTCCAGTGCCTAGCATAGGGCATTGCAAATAGCAGGTGTTCAATATAAAGACTCACGAGTGAATCAGCAAAAAAGCATCTGTTAAAATTACACATTCACTTCATAAAGCATTACAAAATGTGAATTACCAGGGAAGAACTCCTTTTCTCTCATGATGATCACAATTTAAAGGAACCAAAATTACAGTAGTTACATCAATAAAGAAACCTACAGTTAACACACACACACACACACACACACACACACACACACACACACACATATCATTCAAGTTAGAAAAGAGAACTGAAAAAGAACACATACATGCTAGGAAATACTAGTAAAAATAAAACATGCTACTTTATAACTAGGAGAAACTCACTAACTTTTAATGAGCGAGACTCAGTCTCTAATATCTGTGTTAGATGGTATTATAAACCAGAATGATTAAATAACACATCAAACAAACTGAGCCACATTACTCCGATTTACTTTCCTTAGCTGTTTTGGAACTTTAGGAATCATACAGGTAACACAGGATCCGTACTTCTCAGCCTTTCTTTTGAGAGCTGTGAAGGAAGCTCTCACTTTTCAGCTTTGTTCAAGGGAAGAGTTGGAGCAACCAGCAGCTCTCTGCCACCATCTCATGCCTAGACGGGGCTGCTTGTTTTATTTCTATCAATATTCTGTATGTCTAGGCTTGGTAGAACTTTCTATTCTGTTAGTGGAAGGAACTACGTCATATTCCAAGCAAAGATGCATGCTCACCAGAGACAACAGCCATTCAAAATGTTTGTTTTGCCCCCACCAACGTGGGATAGAATTTTTTTACAAACAGCAAGGGAGAATAAATACTTAAATCAATGTTTCTCATGGTATGCTCTATGGAACACTGCATTATACAGTTAAATCAGTTTGGAAAATGTTGTGCATATAACTTCCTCTTCAATATTTATAACACATATTAGCATTCTGGAGACTCCAAGAGGTCCTATTGTAAAGAAACCTAATTAACCATAACCCTAACTTATTTAGCCATGGAATCCTCTCTTTTACAGGATGGGGCAAGCATGGGTGGAGGTAAGGAGGAGGCAGGGAACTGCCTTCTCATGACATTTCAGTAAAACACAGAACCATATCTTAGAACTAGATGGAAACAGGCCGAGCGCGGTGGTTCACACCTATAGTCCCAGCACTTTGGGAGGTTGAGGCGGGTGGATCACGAGGTCAGGAGTTCAAAACCAGCCTGGCCAAGATGGTGAAACCCCATCTCTACTAAAAATACCACCTGGTGGCAGGTGACCGTAATCCTAGCTACTCAGGAGGCTGAGGCAGAGAACTGCTTGAACCTGGGAGGCAGAGGTTGCAGTGAGCCGAGATCGCACCACTGCACACCAGCCTGGGCAACAGAGTGAGACTCCATCTCCAAAAAAAACAAAAAAACTGGATGGAAACTAGAAAGTATTAATCCAGTCTCTTACTTTACAGGTGAAGAAATTAAGGTCCAGGTAAGTAAAGTCATTTGGCCAAGATCACACAGCCATTATCTACATTAAGGGCAAAAACATGAGCCATGTCCTTTAATGGCTGTACTCGATCATTTTACTACTTCACCAAATAAAGAAAATGTCAGGTTAGATACTCCCCCAGTCCTACCCTGTAAATTCTCTGCCTCTATCATCTTCTAGTCCTTCTTTCCTTTTAAAAAATTGTGTTAGAGAAGGGGGTTTCACTATGTTGCTCAAGTTGGACTTAAACCTTTGGGCTCAGGCAATCCTGCCTTGGCCTTCTGAGTAGCTGGAATATAGGTGTTCATCACCACACCCAGCGGTTCTGGCCTCTCTATTTCACAGGCTAGCCCTTCCTTCTGGGCCCTGGACTGCATTTTTCCTACCTCCTTTGGGATCGCATTCTCTCACGTACCCCTTTCTGTTTTGAGCTTGGTGTCTGTCTCCTCTGACACTAACTGTCAATTTTCAGAATGTCCAAACATTATCTTTATTCATCTCAAACTACCACCATAGTCACTCTTTTCCTTAAATTCCTTAAAAGGTGTCTATATTTGACATCTCAATTTCCTCAACTTTCAGTTGCTCCTAAATCATTAAATTCTAATTTCATTATTCCCTACTCGCCTACACAATTCTTCCACTACTTAATCCTCCACCCTGCAATGTTCTAGGCACATGGGACTCGTGATTTGTTATTGTCTCTTGACTATCTAATGCCCGTCTGCATCTCTAGCTCATGTAAAATGTGCTCCATCCCTTTCCCTTCCCTCCTTCTCTTACTAGCAACAACCTCGGCATCATACCTCAGCTCAAGTATCACCTTTCCTAAGAAAATCATCCTTGATTCCTTAGAGCTTGGCATTCCTTCAATGAACTTGCAAAATATCTTGCGCACACACACACACACACACACACACACTTTAACTCATGTAACCATAAAATTTGTTGTCCAAATCAGCACACATCTGAAAATGAAAGACTATTATTAATTATATCAGAACAACAAGTGTGAATTGTGACCATCCTGGGCAAACTAAGATGTATGTTTCCAGCAATTACAGCTCTTAGTAGTTCATAGTGTGATTTACTTGTTCACAAGTCTGCTGTCTATCCAACACACTACAAGTTTCTCAAAGACAAAGATCTTTTCCCACACAGCACAATGCTTAGGACATCTTGGATTCTTAACAAATAGTGTGGCCGGGCACAGTGGCTCATGCCTATAATCCTAGCATTTTGGGAGGCCAAGGCGGGCAGATCACTTGAGGTCAGGAGTTTGAGACTAGCCTGGCCACCATGGTTAAGTCCCCTCTCTACTAAAAATCAAAAAGTAGTCAGGCGTGGTGGTGCATGCTTATAATCCCAGCTACTTGGGAGGCTTAAGCAGGAGAATCGCTTGAACTTGGGAGGTGGAGGTTGCAATGAGCTGAGATTATGCCACTGCACTCCAGGCTGGGCAACAGAGCAAGACTCCATCTCAAAAAACAAAAACAAAACAACAAACAAAAAAACAGTGTTTTTGGATGAAGAAGCTAAATGAAGAAACTAAAAGAAAGACTGATCTAAAAATAAGAAGACTGTTAATGGTAACAGTAATTTCCTACGTAGGAAAACTAATAACAGTAGATGTTAGGTGGTATACCACAATTACTATTTCAACAAAACTAGGAGGAAATCTGGTGAGGTGCTTCTGAAACTCTGAGTATTTCCTGATACCCCTTGAAACAGACTAGAAAAAAAGCAAATGGCTTATAAATCAGCACTGTTATTCTACCTGTTTTCCCACCTCACAATCATTTACTTATCACTTAAGGCCCAACTTTAATGTAACTTTCTTGGATGAAATATTGCTGCAAGTATCCAGGAGTTATTTGCCTCCTCGTTCATATTCTCAGAGCACCCTGTGAAGATTCAACATTAATTTTGAGAGAGTGCCAGGAAAGTTCACATACACTGTGGCACTCAATTCTTCTTATAACCCGGTGAGATAGTGTTATGATCCTCATTTTGCTTTACTGGTTTTGTGTTGTCTTGTTTTGTTTTGTTTTTTGAGACAATGTCTTGCTCTGTTGCCCAGGCTGGAGTCCTGTGGTGCAATCTCAGCTCACTGCAACCTAAACCTCCCAGGATCCATCAATCCTCCCATCTCAGCCTCCCAAATAGCTGGGACTACACATGCACACCACCATGTGTGGCTAATTTTTGTATTCTTTTTTTTTTTTTTTTTTTTTGAGACAAGGTCTCACTATGTTGCCCAGGCTGGTTTGAACTCCTGGGTTCAAGCGATCCCCACACCTTGGCTACCTAAAATGTTAAGATTACAGGTGGAAGCCCCGGTGCCCAGCCATGATCCCCATTTTGGAGACAAGGATATAGATACAGAGGATTAACAGAATTCACCAAAACTGCAAGGGAAATCATGGAACCTGTATTCAACATTAGGCTCTTATTAAAGACCTGTGCCTTCCCTGACAACAGCACTAAGAATGTTCCTGTCATAATTGTTTTTGTTTTTTAGATAGGGTCTCACTATTGCCCAGGCTAGAGTACACTGGCATGATCTTGACCCACTGCAACTTCCGCCTCCTGGGTTCAAGCAATTCACCTGCCCCAGCCTCCAGAGTAGCTGGGATTACAGGCATGCACCACCACGCCCAGCTAATTTTTGTATTTTTAGTAGAGATAGGTTGGTCAGGCTGGTCTCGAACTCCTGGCCTCAACTGATCTACCCGCCTTGGCCTCCCCAAGTGCTGGGACTACAGGCAGGAACCACTGCACCCGGCTTATGTGTCATAATTATTTATGTGTCCGTCTCCCCCAACTCAGAGTCACACCATAGTGGTCCTCTCGGAGGCAAGTCAGGATGTAAAATGTATTAAACGGGGGTGAAGGAAGGTGTGTTGCCTCCTTCCTAAAACAGGAACACCCAGACACTCCTCTTGAACACTACACCTCATCCCTGCTCTCTGCAGCCCAACTTTCTCCAAGTCCAGGCTGGCAGAGACAGAAGAAAAGGGAGAGGCACTAAGAGGTCAAGAGCCTTTGAAATCCCACAGTTCTCGTCTAGAGTGTAGTTCCACAAGACACTAGTTAATCATGGGACAGTGTGCAAGTAACTTTCTCTGGGTCTGGTTTTCTCATGTATAAAACGGAGATAGTAAGAGTTATACCTTGAGGTATGTTTTGTATACTATAACGACACATACGATAGCACAGGTAAAGCACAAACAATTGTACTGAGCAATCATATGAGCTTATAGTTATTATCATGAGTACTTTTTCTTATCCCTCCCTCCAATCTATCTTAATTGTCACTTCTATTTCCCTATCATCCCCTTGAGAAGCGATAAAGAAAAAGGGAGATAGATGGAAAAGGGCACTCTCTTCCTGCTCACTGTACACCACCTCAATGGAGTATGCCTCAGAGAGCATGAGCTTTGGAATGAGAAAGATGTGCTTTTGAAATCTTGCCTCTCCTCTTACTGGCTGTGAAACTGTAAGCAGCTTACTTAACCTCCTGGAGGCTCATTTTCAAGCTCTATAAAACGGATCTGTTCATTCCTCCAACATACAGGGATTTTGGTTAGAATTAATGTTATTCTGTCCCTCTCCTCATCTTCCCTGGGAGGTCCTCTAACAGCCCATCCTGAACACTTTCAATAAATTTTATTGAAAGAAAATGGATTTGCAAGAGGATAGCACACTAGGGAAAGAAGAAAGATACAAGGCCTAGCGGCCTGTGGTCATTACCTGCCCCTTTGCTTCATCCCCTCCTTCCCCCTCCCTGGCGCCACTCCCACTCTCCCAGTGCTAACGCTCTTAGAAAGCCTGCCCCAAGATAGGGAGGCCCCGAAGCTGAGACAATGCAGGTCTTATTTCCAAGCTCCCCCACCCCACCAAGAATGGAGGGAGTGGAAGTCTCCCATCCTGTCACCACAGACACAGGGTAGACCACCTTCCCTGCTTGCTAATTGCCAATTTGAATCTCTGCCTACACCTAATTCATGAAAGATGGTAAAGTCTCTTAACGTCACAATTCCGATTAAAAAGTCAATAGCACTACTGTAGACTGGTCAGGAGAATTAAGCACAATGCAAACTATTCCTTCGGTGGGACCCTGCATTCTACCTTTCAATCGCTTCCAGAGGAACTTCTGAAACATGCAGAATTTTCACAGCAGAGCCTGCCAGTAATGTGTCATGAAAATCATTTCAGATATCTTAAATTCTCGTCAGTAAGAAAGATGTTTCTTAAAAGGAAGGCTTGAAAATAAAGTTTTCTTGTTTCAACAGAGAAGAAACAAAATACATGGAAAGAAAATGTGGTTCGTTTTTGTTTCTCTAGGCAAGGCAGTCTGATGTTGACAAAGTAATAGAGAGTTTCACTGGCACCCTGGGGAGGGGAAAACCCTCCCCCTGCATCTAGGAAGGAATGTACCTAAACTTACCACAAAGAACCCTAAAGGGATAAATGAGGGAAAGCACACTCTACACAGAACCCAAAGATAGCTATGCAATAGGAACTTTCTAAATCTAAGAGCTTTGTGAGGATAAATTTCACGAAGTCCAAATCAAGAAAGAAGTTTTTGGTTGTTAGAATAAAAAGGCAGGTATGAAGAAATGGTTTTGTCAGATATTTTTGGTTTTATAAAATTAAGATAATTTTAAAAAATCATGGTAGCTTTAAAAATACCACAAAAGCAAAAACGCCATTTTATACTGATTTTTCTTAAAAACCGACATGTCAACGATTTACATGTTCAGAACCACAGAGCTACCTAATTACCCTCTGGAAGTATATTAGGTCAACATCAAAAATTGTCAAGGCATATAAAATATTACAATTTCAGATTAGTATCTTTTCAAATGTAGGGCATTCCAAGAGTACTGGGGTCTACATGTTCACACGAGTGTACTTTCTTACCTTGTTTTACATTTAGAATATCTTTCCAAAAAAATGATAAAAATAATGAAGCAAAAATTCACTGTTACTTTCTAATGGTACAGCTTGTCTGAGAACAGAGATTGAAAAAGTTCCTTTTCAGGGAGAAACTTAAGATTCAATTAAATTTTTATATTAGCCTAAGAAAATAATCTTAATAAAATCTGTAGTGGAATTTTTGAATAGAAGAGATATTGCCAAATAGCTGTACATAATTTTTTTAGTAAATCAGATAACTTAAGTATACTAGAGAAACCTGATATTCAGGAGACTGTATGAAAAAATAGTTTATAAACTGAATGAACCATTTGTAATATAATCATGCTCTGATTTCTGCTTAAAGTTTGATTTCTTTATACTGCATTTCCAAGTTTGTGAGGTTAGCTACCTACACTTAGAAACATGTTATTTTTTGTGTTACCCTATGACTGGCTGTATGAAATTATGATTGGAAAAAGAGATAGAGAAAATTGAAGAGGAAAGAAGAAGAAAAAGGAGGAGGAAAGAGAAGAATAAACCAGGTTCTGGGCCTGATGTGAGTTGAACAATCTTCAAAACCAAACCTTAAGAATTCGAAACAGAATCTAAAATACAGAAAAGCCATCATTCCTTATATTCTCATTTTGGACCAGTCATGCACCTAGTACACTACTGACATGGTGTTCAATTATAACACTGGAGGAACTTTTTTTGTTCTTTTGGAACAGAATAAATTGAGAAAATAATTTCACCACAATGACATAAGAAAGGCAGACTTTCCTATGTAACTGACAAAAAAGTGAGGCTGTTCAAATCATTTGGAATGCTGTTAAGGGCACAGATGTGGAAGTGTGTGAATAATGAGGTCTTTGAGCAGTTTCACCTGAAGAAGAGAAAGAAGGAACGGGACACTGGGGCAGGGCTCTGAAATACAGTTTCATAGGATAACAAGAAGCAGGATTTTTCAGAGTGGCCACGGTGAGAACTCAGAAGGGGCTGGAAGTTCTAGTTTCGGAACACGTCAGTTGGATGAGAGAAGATGAAATCCAGAATTCAGAGACTAGGTTGCAGCAATGTCATGAATAGGCTGTGTTGCGGGAGTGGTGACTAGCAGATTTACAGAGAATGCAAACAGGGAAGAGTTCAGTCAAGGTTACAAGCAATGGAGGCAATTGGAAGAGGGAAATGGAACAGCATGGTAGGTGAAGATTTGTTCAATTTGAGGATAAGAAATGCCTCTCAATCTGGGATGGCATTTTGTGAAAGCAGAAAGAAGTCTAGCGTCTAAAACCACTGATGGCTTTTCCTCTGATAGCTCTGTCTTCTCACTGAAACAGAGCCCAGGGCCTAAAACATCACATAGTCATGATCATCAACTAACAAGCACTCTGAAACAGTGCCCTGCACTCTCCAAGTGCTTAATAGGCATATACCACGTCTAACCAATTCATATTTCTGGAACACAGTAGATGTACAACTCTTCACTAGGTGCTTTATTTAGACACTTTCTTATGTCTCTATATAGGACATATAAGAAGGAACAATATATCTTCCTTATTATATAATAATAAGGAAATATATCTCTAAATAGAGATACACATGCATTTAAGGGAAAAATGCATTTCTTATCTCCCTAATAAATTGCAAGGTCCATGTAATTGTAATATATATATATATATATATATATATATATATATACATACATACAGAGAGAGAGAGAGAGAGAGAGAGGAGTAGCTCAGGGCTCAAGTCCTCTGCAACTTCTTAATCGTATGACCTGGAGCAATTTCTTTAATCTCAGTTTTGTCTTCTGTAAAATGTGAATTACAGCACTGCGCCTGCTTACCCCTTGGAATTATGAGATGCAAGGAAAGTAATGGAGGTAAAAGTATTTTATAAATTGCAAGCAGCTACACAAAGGTAAGATGGTATAATTATCATCTTTACCATAGTTGTATACCCTACAGTTAGTCAGTAAGTATGTGCTGAGTGAAAGCATAATCTGGACACACAAGGCCCAAACACACAGCAACTACCAAAGATGAATGCCTGCTGCAGCCAGATGCTGAGCGTAAAGATACTGACACATCAGTAGAACCTGAAGATGATTCCCTGGAAACCAAAGTGCTGCAAGAGAAGCCATTCTAGATATTAGAAGCTTAAGCCAACATCACTCGCAGCAGAGTATTCGGTGGCATGGGGGAGGCCCCTTTGGGACTGACTCATTGAGGAAGCAAGGCATTCAGACAAAGAATATCTGCTTAGTGGGGCTTTTTACTTCTCACAAGAGTAGCTGAACACTAATCAGCATTTCCCTGCCTTAATTATTGTTACAAATGTCCCCATTTTTATTAAGATTTCCTACCAGTCTACTCAGGTCTGATTTCTCTTTCCTTCGTGACTTTAATTTTAACATGACACGTGAATCTGATTTCTGCACAATTCAGTATTTGATCAAAGAGCTAGCACCTTCTGGTGTAAGTACTATAGGTATAAAAACTGTAATTTTGGAAACTGAGTCATCCAGATTTTGCAACCTTGCCCCCAACACTCTGACATGTAACATCGGTGCTGAGAAAGTAGCACTTGTTAAAATTTCTAAAAATAGAGCCAGTACTGTCCTCCCAGCCATGAATATCTGCCAACACAAATTGAATAAGCCTGGTCCAAATGAAGATTTCAAATACCCATTTTCAGTTTTCACATATGTTATCAGCAGAGACAGATCTACCATGAAGCATAATGAAGCTTTAATTTCAGGGAACTCCACTAAATACTGGCCCCTTCCAATGTCTGTACCTAGTTTTGCATTTTTAATTTTGTACTACTGTTCTCATTAAAACAGAGCCCCAATGTTGTGCAAGCTTCAGGCTCCACAAAACCTGGATCAGCCCCAATAATATATAAAGAGCTACAGATTACACATCATTCTGTTCAGACACACTGTTCAGTGTCACCTTCACATATAAAAGGACAAAGTCTGTAAGAGAGGTAAATTTCCAAAGCACCACAAAACCATTATCAGGGTCACATCTCATATCGCCACCATTTATAACATTGTGAATCTGTCTATTGCTTTCTCCTCCTAGCACCTTGCATGTAGTGGTACCATTCCTGATGTTTCCATTTCTCAAAGAAAGTTATGGTTGTAGCTCCAAACCAAAGGCTACTCTGAAAGAAAAAAGAAAAAAGAAGGGAAAAAGTCCCTGTACTGTACTTGTCAGAAACAAAGCAAATTATGAACATCGTATGATTAAAAAGAAAAGAAAACGGAGTCATTTAACTAATGAACTCTAATTTGACTATTTAGCAATTCATTATTTAGCAATTTGCTATTTTTATTACATTTTAAATCAATCCATCTAACAGAGAAATTCTTTCAACCCCACATAGTACTATTTCATTGCTGTAAACCTATATTTCATGGCAAGACGATATCTTTCTATAATAAAATGGTAATAAAAACAGTACCAATTATCCCAGTATTTTCTCAAAATAGGTAGACTTTCTTTCATGCCTTAATTTTATGTTTTCCTTTGCCCCATACTAAAAGCTCGGCATAATTATCCCTGAACAGGTTGAGCAAGGTCTCCGCAAAATTCTGCTCAGGGTGATTATTTAGCTTTTTTTTTTTCGTATTTGCAGAATTTAGCTGAGACTGTTACAAGCGGTTTATCAAAATAAATGCTTGATTGGCTTTAGCAGTTTTTCGTAATTGAAAAAATAAAGAAAAAAGAGTTTTCTAATAAATGGAGGGAGACAGAGGTTAAATACTTTAATTACTAACTTGCAAAAAGATTTCCATTTGAATATGGAAACAATGTAAAGGGGTCCCTAATTTTTATGGGACTGGAATCACTCCAGAGGATTTAATGATACTGCTGGGCAACCGAAACTGTGCAACTGAATAATGTGATTTCTAAGCATACTTCCTTAAAATTTAAGTGCTAGGGAATATTTAAAGAGTTACTTTAAAAGGAAGGTTGAACATGCTAATTTGTAGGGGAGGGGCATTAAGAAAACAGTGATTTCTTTCAATGACACATTTTTCATTTTCTATTTTATAATGAAAACCAGTTACTTTTGAGTCAACAGGCATGTGACGGAAAGTGCTATATAGAAGGATTTTCCCATCAAGGGCTGCTGGAAGTTAACTGAAGAGCTCAGGTAAATACATCTTCCCCTTTTAAAGCATACTTGACATTTCTGATCTTTGAACTCTGATTTTCACTATTTGTAGGGCTCCTTAGTGAGGCCTTAAGATGTAAAGGTCTTCTTGAGCTCAAATGACCCTCATTGCTTCCTGACTCTACTCATATATAGGCGCTGTATTACGGGAAAGCCATGTTAACTCAATTTCAAGGACTCGGCCACTCCAGCTACACATCATACCCCCAAAATGGAGATTTCATAAACAAAAGAATCTCCATCCTTCTAAATATCAGTTAATTCCACCTAATCAGATCTATTATCAGCACTAATCCTAACACATAGATTACCAGCATTACAAAACAGCCATTACTAATTAGCCCTCATTCCTAATACCACTAGCCCAGGAAAGCCTATCCACATTACTATATTAAAAGAGAGTCTATTCTGAATTGCTGTTTTGTTTGGAAAGGGGAAAAAAAAGTCTGTGTTCCTTTCCAGCTGGCAGAGTTTTCCTAAATTAGATTAACTTTTAATTTAAATTAAAAATTTTTAAAGCTTTACACAAAGAGACAGTAATTGCCCATTTGAAACATCCAAAAAAGGTGATTGAAGGGTACAGTAATATGCTTACATGAATAATAAATAATACTTAGCATTTAGATAGAGCTTTCCCCTCATCAAATCACTTCTTTATAAGCATTAACTAATTCATACATTATCCTAGCAGGGAAAGTAAAATTAAATGATGAAATGTTTCTCTACTTTGAAGTTGGGTAAACTGAGGCATAAAGTGCCAATTCTGTGGTGATCATGACACATCAGTTTTAGAACACGGACCGTAATTGTCAGGCATTTCCTTGTGGGCTCTGTGTGTGACACTACGCTAAATCTGAAATTCAGTTTTCCTACAGGCACCGCATGGGGCTTTGGTCATGTTACACAGGCCAATTTTTATTCCCATCTCTGTCAATGGCTATGAGATGTTGGACAAAATACCTAGTATCTTCTTGCCTTAATAGTCTAATCTGTAAAATGAGAATAATTATCCACAGGCATTCTCTCTCTCTCTCTCTCTCTCTCTCTCTCTCTCTCTCTCTCTCACACACACACACACACACACACGAACACACACACACACAATGCTTAGTAAATGCTCAACTCAACAAATAGCAGTTACTATTCACCCTTAGAAGGAATTCCTAAGACAACCACTAACAGTAGCTAATGGGATACTTCAAATACTCTGACAGGAAATGGAGCCGTAACCCCAACTAGGTGTTCAAATGGAATAAAATATTCCAAAGACCCTGGAAAAATATTAATGGCACAACTTCCAAGTCAATGCTCAATAGTTCACATTATATGCAACTAATGTACCTCCAGTGAGTACACAAGAGTTCCACCGCATTTTAGCATTAAAATACCTGCACAGATTTAAGATACTGATTTTACTTTTCTCATTAATTGATGAAACAATGACTTAAGAATTATGGTGAATTCTGTGACACCTTTATGACATTTCTAAATGCATATATGTTTTTATTCTAATCACAACAGATACCTCATATATCAAAAACACCTATAGTACATATGTGTGAAGAAACACATGTTTAATACACATGTGAATTTGAGAAACTTTTGCAACAAGTCCAATATTCCTAGAGATCTGCAGCCCACAGTGTGGGGACCACTTTCCTAGAGGCTAAGAAATAACATATTGTTCAACACTCTTCATTGCACAGCTGATACCCACTAGAAAAATTGAGTGGCACAATCAATTTCCACGTTCTTAAAAATTTTCAAATGGAACTTCGTAGTTCCATAGTTTCTCATAGTGTTTTAGAGCTGGAAGAGAATTTAGAAATCTCTGGATGGAAGTCATCCATTTTAAGATGAAAAAGACTAAGACCCAGAGAGGCTGTGTTTTTACCTCCTTAGTTATAAGATAATGGCTGAACTCAATTCTTAAAATTTTAGTTACAGGACACTGTATATAAAAATATATAAGCTGACAATATGGGAGACTTCTAAAGAAAAGAGTTCTCTATAAACTCTTTTTATATAGTTTGTTTTTTGTCTTTCCTTTCGGATAATCCTAATACATGTGATGCAAGGTCGCTCTCCAGAACTCCAAAGCAGCACTCAAAATCTTTTATTATAATGGCTTTACTTTTCTCTCCTTTATCTTTTGAACTATTTTCTATTAACATAGCGATAAGATAGACACACTCCATACATGTTTGGCTTTTAAAATAACTGGTTTAACATAAAAACAAGTTAAGGTACGCCAACTACTAAGGAAAGCTAAAAACTTAACGTCTATTTTAATCACTTATAAATGCCTACATTTTTAAGCTCCTGGAATTTTTAATATATTTCCATTTCTCTTCATCCAGAGAATTTACATGTTGAAAGAAAACCTTGTTGAGACCTTATTTTGGTCTTAGTGGAACATAATCTCAACATCTCAGACAGCCTGAAGCGTCCTGAATTGCATTTTCAGCTTTCTCAGGGGCACTGTGAAGCTCTATTAGTATTGCATATTACATATACGTTACTTTTAATGCTCTTCTAAAGCTTGTTAAGTGCTGCACAAACTTTACACTTTATGTCTCTGATGTTTAACTTATCTAGCAATACATATGAACCCACAATTCATCTACTCTTCCATGTTGGTGATTTTCAATTATTATTATTTCTAAATAGGTTTATTTTAGAGAAATTTTGATTAACAACAGTTACAAATTATTTACCTGAAAAGAAATGCCTTGAACCTTTGCCCTAGACATTCAAAAAGGTAAAATCAAGTTTGTAAAGGTGGTGGCTTAATAGTTTTATTTAAACTGTGACACTATTAATGAGCACACAAAAGCCACTCAATATTGTATATTAAATGTGACTGTTCTTCTTATTGGGAATTTTAAGAATATTAATGTATCGTAAAATAAACCTAACCATGATGATTCAAACAGGTGCCTATAAATGTCTGTTTTTAGATTTAGACAGTGCTATTTTTTCTTTTTGTAAGATGAACCTAAAGTATACTGATTAAAATACAAAATGCATATCTCTGCATATCATCCAAACAAATCCCATGCAGACTGCATATGCTTTTGATTTGATCGAATTCTGTCCTGAGCTACAGGCAACCTAAAAGTCAATCTCTGAGGAAGAGCAACACTGAAATATCAGTTATTGCACATCACACAGGAAATCTTGTTGGCTGAAATTCTGACAGAATTTTATTTTCAAACACAGGTTTTATTAAATTTTTCTTTTCTTGAGCAATAACCTCATTTAAAACAAGCAAAAAAATTATACCAATATGATCAAAAGTATAAGCAAACTGATGAAAACTTTCATATTCCTGAATGTCACAGCCATTGTAGCATCAATTACATCTGCAAGGAGAAAAGCTTAACATTTCATTTCTGTCTTCATTGCCTAACATCAATAAAATCATACAAGAGTTATACAATTATTTTACTTTCTATTGATGAATAAAATCTCAATCTTACTTTACTTCAAAACATTCAGGATGAAAACAACCAAGCTTACCATGTTCATCTGTCAAAAGAACATTCCTCAATAGTTTAATCCTGATTTTATTCTCTAGTAGGTAAACTCTGCCTGATACCAGGTTATCTCAAAGAGCGTAGTGACAAAGCAAAAACAAAGAAGATTAAAAATGCACAAGAAATGGAATTTGGAATTTGTGTTTTTAGTACAGAAAATAATCTTTGTGAAATTATACAACCAAGACTAAGTGCATATCAAGCAACATTTGAGAAGTAACAGCAGTATTTAATCATTATTGTAAATTTCATTCAAATGAGATTTCCAAGAATACAGGCCTTTTATTTTACCTTAATTTTCAAGCAACTTGGCAGTGATCTATTTATAGAAATGGCTTTGTTAAGGAGACACAAAAAGTGAAACTATCTGCGAAAAGAGGTGAAGAGTGGACATGTTTTCTTTTCTTGTAAATCTTATAATAAATAAAAATATATATAGTTAGGAAAATACATATTTAACAGAGAAACTACTGGTCTTGATATAACCAGAAATTTCTAAGTACTTCCAGATGTACTATTTTAGTCATTTGTTTCAAATAAAAATTTATATTTAAAATTGTTTACGTAACTATTTTTAAGTTACATTGTGATATCAAATCCTATTTGTCCTTCTATTACAATAGCACAAATTTCTCACCATTTTAAAAGAAGTTTCTATAAACAGATAATTTAGTCATTGGGAACTCTAAAAAAAAATTAATTTGTCATCAGGATAATTGAACCTTGGCTGCCTCACACATTGTTATTTTGATAGAATAGTTAGAAAATCAGAGGTGGGAAACACCAAAGAAAACATACTTGTTATATAGACACTTGCACACTATGTCATGTTTATTGTTCCTATTATCAATAAGAATGATGTCTGTGATAGCTGACCCTAACCAGTGCCTTAATTAACTAGTATTAAATGGTAATTAAGGCTGTTCCAATTAAAATTTAATTTCTAAAAATTAAGTACAAACTCAGTCATTCAATAAAAGGTTGTAGTCTGTTGGTGTGTTTCTAGGTGCAGAATATAGCAATTTACTATTGACAAGCACTAACGGAGGAGGTCATTTCACAAGTATAGTGTGGACAAAGGTGAACCGGGCAACTGATGAAATCTGTGGCCAAGGCGAAATAGCAATCTCCGAGCCAAATGGTAATAAAGTTACTGAAATGAAGCAATGTAGTTTCTAAACTGAACTGTCATAAAAGAGGATATGGGTTTCCAACTGGCATGTCAGTAGTAATTAAAATATTGTTTCTGTCTTTTAAAAATTTTCAAATGGTTATAATAGTCTTATTGATTTTTTATTCAAACAGCAAAGGTTAGGAGAATCCTGCTAGACAGGGGAAGGAGTGGACAGTGCAGAGGTTTGGCAGGAGGGAAGGCCGAATCTATTAAGAGGAGAAAAAGAAAAATAAGGTAGACCTAGGAGTCTAGAATTGCTTCCACAAACAAAATACTATGCTACCCCAGAGTAAGGAAGTTAAAGGAATTCAGAAGTTATGATGCTAATGCTTAAAAAGCAATGGTTACATATAGACTATTGTTCATTGTTCACAAAGGTATAGAAAGTTTCTGTGAGGCAAGATGACAAAAGTAAAGTTCTCAAAATAGATTCTTCCTGAAGAGTCTAAGGTACTGGGAATACGGCAATGGGTGTCCTTACGCATGCCAGAGAGTAAGTCTTCATGCGGTTCTGATGCCATAATGAGGACTCAGACGGCTTCCTTAGAAAGCCAAGTTTCCACGTGCATCACATAACTTTGCCCTTGGCAAACACCAAGAAGGAATACATCACCTTGCATAAGGAGCCATGCAGCTCAAATCCAAACCCATACACCCCTTGAGTAATCCAGACACGCTTTTTGAGGTGAAAGCCTTTCTAAAAAATAATATTTAGTTATAGAACAGCCTCCATGCCAATGTTTTATGTAATCCACTTTACAAGTAGCTAATTACATGTGATCATCTTTCACTTAATTGAACCTACATGCACGTTATTCAATAAATAAATAACTTGTCTAAGCTGAAATACAAAGTATAAAAGAATTCATTTGGAGAGAACACAAATGAAATCATCAGAGACCTACAGCCCAGGCCAGAGAATCAAGCAGACCTTAGTTTCAGCATGCTGGAGAAAGACCAAAGCTTTGGAAATATCTAGACTATGTTTTCCCTTCTCCTTTGAAAGGTAATCCTACCTTACAAACTACAGAATTCCCCACCCCACTCAAGAAGCGATTTACTATGTGATCGAGGTTCTGTCTGAACAGGACTTTGCGGACCTACCCGAGAAGCCCCTTCTTGCCAGTATCATCCCAGCCCTATAACAAGGTAAAATAAGCATAAAACATACTTCAGGAAAGTTGGGTTTTCTTTTCATATCTATGAGAAAAAAGTAGAATCGTGTTTTAAAATGGGCAGGTCAATCAATTTATTTTTACTCTCACTCTTGAAAGCTGCAGGATAAAAAGAATACCCTAGCCAGGTATAAACTGCTTTTCATACTTATTTTCTCCTTGTCTTACAAATGTTAACATATGCTATCATATCACAACCCATAAGGAAAACAATAATACAAATATTAATTGAATAAGACATGTTCAATTAAAAGTAACAAACAATTGACTGAGGTTGCTTCTGTATTGTGAAGCGAATGACAAGTATTTATAAAATCTCCCCTGAAGTTTTGTACCTTCTATAGAAATGTTAAAAATTCTATGTCAAAGTAGTATTATCAATTAGTGTTCTAGTACTGATCATTAGTGTTCCAGCAAATAAAATATCTCCTGATGCAGAAAGCAATTGTGTCAATAAGCTACTTCTTTTTTTGAGGGATAAGGTAGTTATCCATTCAACTCTCCAAAACTGAGAATTTTCATCCTGGAGGTCTATGCTCCTTAGAAAAAAATACCAAGTAAGATTTAGCAAGGATACAAGCTACCCTTTGGTGGAAATTATGAAGATCAGGCAACTGCTAGTCTGTCCTTGGTTCATTTTGCTTTTTAGTTTGGTAAGGCTAAATGCCCTTCCTTCGCATCAAATAAATCTATAAGAAGCTGAAAATCAACAGAGTCTTCTCAAATTATAATTTTGGACAGACCAAATGCAGGTGGAAATGTGTTTGAAAAAAATGAGGTAAAACAAAATGCAGGTGGACTTGCACTGACAGAATTGAGTTTAGTTCTGTGCACGACTTTGTGCTGCCTGACTATGACATAATAGTGTCAGTTAAATGAAAGGTTTTTATTTAGCAACAATTTTAACAAAACCCAATGTTTAACTTATGACACAGTAGGGATTTGGAGGTCTTCCTCATCATCTTAGAAGGAGGTAAACTAGAATCCAGCATGAGATGAGAGTGCTATTTCATCTTGTAGAGTTCCTACCCTCACTCCAAGTAATAACTTACTTATTGGTAAAATAAAGACCTATAGCATTAGCTAAAGAGACACAATTACAAGATTACACAGAGTCAGTGTTCACCTGTACACAATGGCTTGTCTGACTACAAAGAACGATTCATTTCAAATCTTCTCAATTCGTATAAACTATTGCTTCAGTAAAACTAAGATCCTCACGCACCATGCACTCACACACACATATACACACAACATGAGAAAAAGAGCATTCATTTTTAACCACAGAGCTGCAATAAAATCAAATCTCCTTTTTACTCCAAAGGCATTCCCTGGATTAGAAGACGCTTGCAGCTTCTCAAAGCAAGTCCAGTTACCAAAACAAATGTACATTTTACCAGCCTTGGAATTCTAATTGTGTTTAATACAGTTTCATGTTGCATCAAAGTACAAAATCAATACCATTTGTCCAGCATACAGGAAAAATAGAATCTATAAATGGCTCTTATTGAGTAATTAAACACCTATTATTGTCATGGGTAGTGAAACAATGAATATGATAAGATAAATTTTTGCAAGAAAATACTGCAGTGATTAATACCTCCCTACGTATTAAATAAAAATGACTGCCTTTTGTGCAGTACTGCTGGCAGAAGAACAGGACGCAAGAAATAGTTGCCAGTGCCACAATAACAGGCTAACCTTGAACTGAACTCCTTTCCTCAAGAAATTAAATGCTGTAGCAGGACTTTAAATCCCCCCACTTAGAGCTCATTTGTGCGCCATGTAACCTGCAGTTCCTGAAGAGAACTCATTATCTTCAAAAGGAGAATCCCTTTATAATTTCTTTATGACTGTGTATATTGTTTCTACAAAAAAAGTGTTTCCGTGTCCAAAAAGGATTAGAATATTAACCGTGTAAGCAAGGCAAAGAGACTTGTACCAATCAGATACTATTTCTACTTCCAGGAATTCAAGTGCAGAATGCAATCTGTTATGGAAAACTGAATGTTAGATTGAGAATGAGGTTAGAGGAAATGCATATTTAGAAAGAGATATTAATCTGTTAGACTGATGCTAACGCTCCTGGTTATTCTGTTGCTAGAGTCCTGTATCTTTCTGGATATCTCCCCCTGCCCCCCTAGCTCTCTGGAATAAGCATGAAAGCTCTCATTTCACAGCCCCCACCCTCTGAACACACACAGACACACACTCCCCACCCACCACCCACCACATGGTTCCTCCATTGCTTTGCCTTTTTTTTTTTTTTTAACATAAGAATGATGCACCAGGACAACTACAGAGTACAAAAGATGAATCTATGGATGTGACACTTGTAAAGGGTAACTCTATTTCACAAGTGAGATGGGACAAAAAAGAAAGAAAAAAGGCCACTGAAGCAATAACTGCTCACTGAATTACCATTAAATTGTAAGATTTACAATCTAACGTACAGTAAGTGCATATCTAATGGAGTTTGTCCTCTAAAAGAATATAAAGTGAATCTTTGCAGTATGAGATGTGTGTAGGTGATGTATGTTTCTTTTTAATCTATATTTTAATTAGGAACAAAAAAGTTAAAAACAAAAAAAGGACACACTGCAGAAACATCAGCAAAACCCTGAGGCAAACTTAGAAGCTTACTTAATTTTAAATGCACTTCATATTAATTACTCTCATTTTCTATCAAACTGAATTCATTCTTCCGAATACAAAATGTAAGACATATCATCAAATACATACAGAAAAATAAGAAGTGCCATTTTACAGGCAACATTTTACACGAACACTTAAACTTTTTCAATTGTTAAAGTAAAAATTGCTGAGTCCAAATGTTTGGTTATATGTGGTGAGATTTTTTTAAGGCATAATAAGACAGAGTTTATTAGTAATATTTTTCCATTTAATAAAGGCAAATAAGTTTTTATGTTGCCAAAATGGAGAGAATTCAAATACAATGTTAATGTAATAAAATATCAATCATATTATAGCAATGTTTATTTTTATTAACACAACCTCCAAAAGAAATTGACTATTTTGTAGCAAAATTATTTAAAATACTGTAATTGATTGTTTAATCACCATTAAAAGCACATGCTATTAATCTTTTCTTGTGGTGCTTTCTAAAGTAAACATTGGTGAAATAGTGCCCATTTTCACGTCATGACAGACAAACACCTAACAGACATAGCTGGCCAGAGATTCAGTCAAATGGATAGTATTTTAGCAAAAGCTTTGGGATGAGGAAAAGTAGCTTAAGTAATATTTATTAGAAGGTTTATTTTGTTTATGTAAATTGGTATCTTATTTACGTCCTTTTATAGAAGTCACTGCCCTTAAATATAGTAAAATATCAAAACTGTTACACAGATTTTGCAAATCTATGTTTTGCTCTTCTCACCTCTCTCCTACAGGATCTGAATTTTATTTTATAGGATTAACAAGTAACATATATGATCAGCAATGATATCCTTGTTCTGTTAAACCTTAGTGAATCAAGTTCGGTAAAGGTGAAGTAGTGGAATTATCAGTACAAGTAGCTATGTCATCAGAGTCCTCAGAAAGGTGCTGTATAGAAATGCCTAAATAAACAGCAGCATAAAGGATTTTATATATGAGATATACACACACAGCTGCCTCTCTTTCACACACACACACACCACACACACACACATACACACACAGCCTGCCTCTGGTTATTAAAAATATAAAACAGAGGCACCACTGTATATAAACCAAAAGACATTTACTACTGCATGTAAACCAAAAGGCATTTGTAATCTCCCTTCACATCAATTTTAACTTCAATTTTGGTTTAAATGATGTACCATTTTCTTCTCCCCCTTGCCAAGTTATCTGAAAGATTATCCTAAAAATCAGTTGGTTAAAGCCCCTCTCTATGCTACAGCGAGCCGGAGAATTTCCAGCATCTGATGAGGACCAGTGGACCACCTGATACTTTTTCAGCAGGGTGATAAAATTAAAGGATGGTTTTGATTTGCTTGAAGGATTATTTCCCTTCCTTAATTGTTTAAAGTGCACAGTATTAACACAAAGCGGGGGGGGGGGGGGGGGGAGAAAATTAAGAAGGTGATTGTAGAGCCTGAGCTAATTGCAAGCTGATTAGATGTGCCATGCAAGAGCTCTCCCTCCGTTACATACCATCACAAGCTCTGGTCTTTTCCACCCTGCTGCTGCAGCAAACAAGCTGATTTGCTAACAAAGTGGTCAGCTCGGGCACTTGCACAGCAGCTCACGGGGTCCACAGACGGCTGCTCTCCATGCAGAGAATCTCAAGCTCCATTTTCCAATCTGATTACACGGCTCCTTGTTCCAGAAGCCTTAAACCTTCATGGCAGTTTACCAACATTTTCATCACTTTTTTCTTTTACAAAGCAAAAGAACTGATAAGCTCTCAGGTACCCAGGATTTCATAGTCAATGGCTGGCCAGCAGCCAGCATTCCCTCACCACATAACTGTTTCAGGCCACACTGCATAAAGCAGACAGGATTTACCAGACTGCACAGAACTATTAGAATTTTGCCGTGTGTACAAGTAAGCAGCATGTTTCTGTCCTTACAGATGTCGGCTATTGTGTCTAATCACATCTAGGAAGTACAGAAACCTGGTAAGTGCCCTGCCTCACCTCCCCCAAAAAAGAGGAAATGCAAAGCAAACCAATAAGCATATGCCCATGAATTCCACTACTACCCTAACTAACCTGTTCAGGAATTCTGCCTGGCAAATGCAAAGTACTAATTACTGTTTTTTAAACTCCTGGTCTGATTACCTAGATCAATTACCTGGACTACCATGAAACTGATCCTAGTGACTTTCCATTAAAATCTTAAATATTGTGGGCCACTAAAAATAACTGATTAGCATCTTCAAACTTTGGCAATTCTCTAGAACTTACAAAAGGCAAACCAAAAGATGTAGAATTGAAGCACAAAATTTGCCATCTAAAGCAGCTTCATGAGAATTAATCTTATACCCATTAATTCCCAGAAATCACATCAGGCAGTTAGTGTGAGTTTTAGCATAATCATTCACATCCAAAAGCTTAAAACAATGACCACTATAGCATTCCAAATTAAAAATTTATGCATATACTCTTTCTCCCATGTAATATTTTTCCAATTCATTTTTATCTACAGCCAATGACCCTAAAATGTGAATTTTACACTGAGATAATGTAAATGTTCATTCATTGTGTGCTTCCTTTCAACCAAACAACAATAAACAAACAAAAAATAACAGAGCCTCCTTCAGCCATGACCAATAACTTTCTAACAAAGATAAAGAAAAGGAAAATAGTTTATAATGTGTGTGGCTATGCCTGGTTCACTTTTGCATAATGTTGATCTATAATAAAGGGTTTGGGGAGGGGAGAGGAGAAAGAGAGGAGTCTGCAGTTATGGGGAAAATATACAACTCGGCTCGCACAATGCCTCAGTACCCAAGCTCACCAGTGCGTTGACCCTCTGTATCTTGGAGTCATTAGCTAGAGTCCCAGCCCTGCTTCCAGGAGGGGGGATTTGAACTCACACACCACTGTGGGGAGATTCGGGATTTTGAGCATGTCAGGCAGAAGGGTCATTCCTCCTTGCTGATGAGGAAGACGCCTGTCCCCTGGGAAGGGAAAAACTGGATGAGTGACTGTCGCAAGATTCAGGCAATGGACGTGCTGCTGACTCAGGAATG